CAAAACCTGATGTCAAGTCTGACAAGAAGTCTGGAGACAAACCAAAGGATGAATCAAAAAAGAGTCCATTAATGGTGGACTCGAAGACAGGTCAAGACAGCTCTTCGACGACAACTATTAGACGAACCAGTGTTCCGAAAATCGATACCAAAGGCTTAATTGGAACTCCAAATGTCTTTGACTCTAAAGATCCTTCGAAGTCAACTTCTCTCTCGAAGAATGTTCCCAAAGGTCCCGAAAAGACTTCAAACAAAACTCCAGACAAGGGCTCAAAACTAGATGACAAGAGCTCTTCACTGGTAACTAATCTGCCAAAGAGTATGGAATCAAAGAATGCCTCAAAAGACTTAAAGGGAACTCCTAATGTCTTTGGCCCTAAAGACTCCGAGAAATCTTCAAAGAGTGGTTCCATAGGCTTTAACAAGACTTCAAAAGATTCTTCTGAAAAGTCCAAAACTAAATCCAAACCCAAGACCAACAGTAAACCAAAAGCTGATGATAAGAGTGACTCAAAATCTGGGGCCAAAACACATGATTCGAAATCTGATGTTAAAAAAAGTGAGAAGAGTTTGGACCCAAAGATCGGAACACAGAGTGACTCGAAGTCATCCGAGAAGAAGGCGAGTACTTCTAAGGGCCACGACTTAAAAGCGGTGCCAATCGGAAAAGATCTGAAGTCCACTCCAAATGTCTGGAAGTCTGACACCAAAGATACAAAACCGGACTCTAAGATCAGTTCGGACTCCAAAATTAGTTCAAAAGAGTCGAAAGACTTTGGTATCCAATCTGATGTAAAATCAAAAATAAAACTATTCGAGGAAATGTCTAAAAAATCTGATACAAAATCAGGAGAGAAACCAAAACTTGATATCAAATCTGATGTAAAATCAAAAATTAAAGAATATGAAGACATGTCTTCTCCCAAATCTGACATCAAATCGGTAGACAAATCAAAATCTTATCATTCATTGGGAAAGTCATTAGCTCTTGGATCTGAAGGGCCGTCCTCTGAGGTCAAGCCATTCGGTGCCAGTATTGGTAAGTCAGCCGAGAGTGAAGTGTCGCAATCAGAAGAGGCCGCTGTTGAGGCACTCGAACCACAACCTGACGATGGAGTTGGAGGACAGAGAAGGAACAGGGGGTACATATTGATTGGTAGTCTGCTAGGGATGGCCATTGTCTTCGCCATCACTATTGGTGTCATCTTTTGCAGGCGTTCAGGAAATAAATCTCTCGGAAAGTGAAGACATATTTCTCTGAAAATCTTGTCTAAAGATTTGAAAACTAATTTTGAAATAAATATTAGACTTAGACATCAAAATGATTTTGAATTTCCTATTTGTTAATTTTATAGTTAAACTAATGGGAATATTGGTTTTAGTTATCATTTAGAAATTCTATATTAGATTACTGTGTAGTGGGCTATTAGAAAGACATTTTGTTAATTTTTATGCGGTGTATACAAATTGATGCTAAATTGCTATTCATAATTACTAATTAATCAGAATTATTAATTACGAGCAAAACAGTAGCAAATAATACGTTAATTATTAATTTAGTTATAATATCAATTATAATTTATAACCGATTTTGTTATAAATATTTGAAAATTGATGATTGATTTGAGTAGAAATGACAGATTCTGAAGACGATAAGCAGCTGATCGGCAAATGCATAGCTAATAACAAGTACATGTTGACCGCATATATAGGATCTGGATCATTTTCAGCCATTTATAAAGTGATTGAAGTGAACACTAATAAAGAACTGGTCGTCAAACTGGAGTCAATGGACACTAAAACTCCACAATTAAGTCACGAGTTCCGTATGTATCAGCTCTTGAGGTATGAATGCAATCACTGGTCGATACCGAAGACATACTTTTTCGGTGAATTTCTCACATATCGAGCGCTCGTTTTGGAACAATTGGGACACAATCTGTACCTTAAGTTCGAGGAATGCGGTCAAGTGTTTAGCGTAAAGACTGTCACCCTTTTGGCCATTCAGTTGATGAATATCTTTGAGTACATTCACAGCCGACGCATAGTCTATAGGGATGTCAAACCGGATAACCTGTTGTTAGGAATGGCCGGAACCGCCGGCGCCAACCGATTACATGTCGTTGATTTTGGTTTAGCCAAAGAATATAAGGACAGAAACGGCGCTCACGTCCCATACAAAGAAGAGGTGTCTTTAACGGGAACCGCGAGATATATGAGTATTAATACACATCTGTATAGAGAGCAGAGCCGTAGAGACGATATGGAAGCCGTCGGACATCTGTTGATATACTTCTTGAGGGGAACCCTTCCGTGGAGTGGACTCGACATCAATGACACTGTCAAACGGTTTGAGACGATCGGTGCCATCAAACAGAAGACCACACCAGAGGTCTTGTGCGCTAACTTTCCTCAAGAGTTTGCGATGTATTTAACAGCCGTTCGGTCGCTCGGTTTCGACGAAGAGCCCAAATATGAGACATTTCGACATATGTTTGAACAGATTGTGACCAAATCGGGTGATAAAGTGGATAATTGTTACGATTGGATGGACACCAAAGGCCCGACAAGACCCGCAAGTGGTGTCAAAACCGAGTCAAACACTACTCTCAACGAAGACATCAATAAATTGTGATTTACTTTACAAACAGTTTATTATAACTAATGTATGAATTAAAGCAAACTTTTAACACCAAATAAATTTTTATAATTTTAGCAATTAGTTGATTATTAAATTTCGCAATAGATTTAATGAAATTAATTAAATCAAAATGTTTTCATTGAATGATAAAATTCATTCATTTCACTGTCAAATATTAATACTGTAGTATGACTATGACAAAATATGTACTATGTCAATATCTTTGAAACCCCTGAAGAATATTTTAATGGTTTCACTCAAATTCTAGTATATTTTGAGCTATTCTTTGGTTATTTATGATTCAATTCTTATACTAAATAAACGAAAACTTAATGTCTTTAGAAAAGAGTTTTATTTTAGAAATAAATCATTTCAAACATAATTTTGATAAAAGTCTTTTGGTTTGAAGTCTTGATTCCGAGGGAACGACACTTTACTCCTCCTCTCCTCCGGAGTGCGATCTCCTTCTCCTTCTTCTTCGTCCACCACTTTTTCCCTTCAAATGGGAACGCCTTCGGCGTCGACCCCCAGACCGGGAGCGACCCCTTCGGCTCCGACCACCCGAACGGCGGCTGCGGCGACGCTTCGACTCCATAACCTGACCGCCCGATCGCAGTGTCTTCTGCTCTTCGGAATCGACTTCCAGTTCATTGCGATTCATATTTGACTCAAATTTGGAAAAAGAGTTCAAAAGAGATGAGAATTTTGTGACTTTTATTGACCGCTAAATGAAGTGAATTTCAAATGAGAGTCCCTTTTATAG